CATGTTCAACTCTTTCTGGGTAAACAGATACTTGAGACTTTTATGATCAGTGTAAATTTCGCAGGTTGTACCATAAAGATAGTGCCGCCATATTTTCAAGGCAAAAACTACTGCCGCTAATTCGAGATCGTGTGTGGGATAATTCTTCTCGTGGGGTTTCAGTTGTCGAGAAGCATAGGCAATAACCTTTCCATTCTGCATTAGTACACAACCAAGCCCCTTATGCGAAGCATCACTGTAAATTACGAATCCTTCGGTACCAGATGGCAAAGCCAGAACTGGTGCTGTCGTCAATCTTGTTTTTAATTCTTGAAAAGCAGACTCCCGCTCCTCTGACCATTCGAATGTAACTCCTTTTCGTGTCAGTTGGGTAAGTGGCACAGCGATTTTGGAGAAATTTTGAACAAACCTCCTGTAGTATCCAACTAACCCCATGAAACTTCGCACCTCAGTTACATTAGTGGGAGTTGGCCAATTCACAATTGCTTCAACTTTGTGTGGATCAACAGAAACTCCTTCCTTGGTCACCACATGCCCCAAAAATGCTACTTCTTGTAGCCAGAATTCACATTTCTTTAACTTTGCATACAGTTTCTTCTCCCGGAGTGTTTGAAGAATTAAGCGAAGATGATCCTCGTGAGCTTCTGCACTCTTCGAGTATATAAGAATGTCATCAATAAAAACCACCACAAATTCGTCTAGATAAGGCTTGAAGACGCGATTCATTAGATCCATAAATGCTGCTGGTGCATTTGTAACCCCGAAGGGCATAACCAAAAATTCATAATGGCCGTACCGGGTTCGAAAAGCTGTCTTCTCCACATCATCGGCTCTAACTTTCAATTGATGGTAGCCAGACCGTAAATCAATTTTTGAGAAAACTTGTGCCCCTTGTAACTGATCAAATAAGTCATCTATCCGTGGTAGGGGGTACTTATTTTTAATTGTCACCTTATTCAGTTCTCTATAGTCGATACATAACCGAAGTGTCCCGTCCTTCTTTTTCACAAACAGTACTGGCGCACCCCAAGGAGATACACTCGGGCGGATAAATCCCTTATCAAGCAGATCCTGTAATTGAATCTTCAACTCTTTCATTTCAGCTGGTGACATCCTATAGGGGCGTCTTTGAAATGGGTTGGGTTCCAGGCGCCACTTCAATTATAAACTCGATTTCTCGGTCTATTAGTTGGCCCGGCAATTCTTCGGGAAAAACATCCGGAAATTCACGGACCACTGGGATCACATCAATATTCTCATTCATCCCCTGCCCTTCTAAAACGCTACATAGATACCCCCGACAGCCCTTTCGTATTAAGTTGCAAGCCTTCATGGCAGATATCAGGTAAGGTGGAGAAATCACTTCCCGCCCTTGAACCACAGGCTCTGATTGCCCCGGAGGATAAAAATTGATTTGCTTAGTCACACAGTTTATAGTTGCACCATAAGCACTTAGCCAATCCATCCCCAGAATAACATCAAAATAAGTCATATCGAGAGGCACTAAATTAGCATACACCCGAATATCCCCAAGTTGAAGTTCACAAGCTAGATATATAGTAGCACAAATCATAGATTCTCCCAAGGGGGAGGACACACACAACATGCAAGATAAGTTTTCTTCAATTTTATCTAAATTAGGAGCGAAGAATTTTGACACAAAAGAGTGAGTGGAGCCAGAATCAAACAATACATGCGCAGATTGACCACAAATAGTAAATGTACCTCACACCACTGTTGCTGTATTTTGTACATCACCTGGAATCAAAGCGAACACCCTACCTTGTCTTGTAGTGTCTTTGTTACTACTCGGTTTGATAGCCGCCTTCATATTAGGGGTCAGTGTAGACCCCGCGGAACTTGTAGCAGGTCTATTGCCTTTTTGTTGAACCAATTGCGGACAATCCCTTACTAAATGTCCCGTTTTCCCACATTTAAAACATGCTCCAGTCCTCCAGTGACAAGTTCCTCGGTGTTGCCTTCCACAGTCTGGACACATCGGAGTGGCATTTTGAGCAGAATTAGTGGTGCTGAAGTTCCCTGAATTGTGCTTCTTCGCGGGTGGAGTAACGGATCCCTTTGACCATTGGTTGTTTTGTCTCTTCCCTTTCCACTCGGAAATCCTATTCTGGGCCGCAAGGTTTCCTTCCGCAATAACAGCCCTTTCCAGTACTTCAACGTATGTGGGTAATTTTAGCATATTAACCCGGTCCAAAATGGCACCCCGTAATCCCCCTTCAAATTTTCGTGCTTTCTTATAGTCGGTATCTACCATATGAGGAGCAAACCGAGCTAATTCAGCAAATTGGGCCTCATATTCTGCAACAGTCTTATTTCCTTGTCTAAGAGTCTCAAATTCCGTCACTTTCTTATATCGCATGCTTTGGGGAAAATACTTATCGTAGAACAGCTCTAGAAATCTATCCCATGTTAAATCCCGATGCACTGTTCTTGTAAGCATCCACCATCTTCGCGCCTCATCTTCAAGAGTAAAGGCGGCAAGTTGCACTTTCTGGGCTTCAGTACATGGAAACACTTCGAACAATTTCTCTATTCCCAGCACCCACGCTTCAGCTTTCATAGGTTCAATTCCCCCCTTGAATGACGGTGGTTTCATCTTTTTGAACTCCTTTGTGAGTGTGATGGTTCGGTCCTCAACATGAACATCTTGTACTGCAGGTGGAGGTACTGGTGGTGGTGGCGGTTGTTGCTGTTGCTGCCTTAGGGTCTCCGCCATATCCATAATCATTCTTTCCATTCGGTCCAATCTTGCCGAGGTAGCCTCGTCCGACTCTTCCATCCTGGTTCTAACCATAACCTGCATAATATTCAATTATATCCGACAAACAAAGTTCAAATTGTTAGCGTTAGCAGAGTACATTCTTCGTTGCCATCGGTCTTCCATACATTCTTAGGATGCCATGCATGTTACTTAAATCTTTTCTAGACATCCTAAGGCTCAATGGATCTGTGTGTGAGATAGCAACTCGTGCTCTGATACCACTTGTCACGCCCCTTACTTGCCCCTAAAAGTTAGGCATGACCTAAACAGAAAATGACACTTAAACTGGTTCTATAGAGGGGCCTGCCCGGAAGCTACAAATCATAATTGATAAAACCAGAGAGTATGACATCCATTGAGCTACTAAGTCATGCCAGGATCAAAAACATTTTTCAAACAAGTACGTTAGAAGCCAAAATGCATTTAAGAGTTGGTTATTTACAGGCATATACAAAACTAACCCCGAGATGGGGTATATAACGAAATCATTAAGTACATATCAACTTAAGCCAATAACAAAAGTGTGAGTCATCATCTAACAACTTCACAAAAGTAGGGTCCTGACCCCAAGCTTGGCTGTGCCTAGGCTGACAAAAGTATGACGACGCCGAGCTAAGATCGACCTCCTGGTTGGTTACCTACAGGAACAGACATAACACAGGGTGAGCCAAGCTCAGTGAATAATAGTACTAATATGCTAGTAAATATATTTACTGCTGTAATCATGCCATTAGTCTGTCTCTGTACGACTTGTAGGGACAACATAATCGGTTTATAATTATCATAATGAGGCCCCTGGCCTAAGCACTTTATACGTTCGGAAAGAGTTTTTTTTGGGTTCACAATTTACAATTCCTCACATAAACCTTTGGTTCTGTTCAGTCCACAAGCTCACAATAAGGACATTCATATTTCACACATCGGCCCTTGGCCTCATAATTTCTTTATTCACAAATGGCCCTTGGCCTCATTAGTTCACAATTCACAATTGACCATTGGTCACGTAGTTTCACATTAGGATTCTTAGCCACATTAATTCACAGTTGGCTCTAGGCCATATTGAGTCACAAATGGCACTAAGCCACATTGGTTCACAAATTCATATTGCCTTGATACATTCCGGTAGTCAAAACTTTCATATAGGATGCGCACAACTTCACAACCTTTTCAATGTTTTCACAATTTCGTATCAAATTATCTATAGCAGATATGTCATTTCATACCAATCATTTCATGCCAACACAAGTTTAATAGTGACATTCATAACGTCAAGATATAACGTCAGTATATCATACGATGATACTTTCTACAAGGTCACAACGTCATTAATTATAAATACTGAGTAGGGATACATTGAAGCACTATTACTCACTGTGTTGTGGCGGTGCACTTCCTTTTGAGGTGTTTCCTACACACATGAACATATAAAAGATTACATTAGCCCCTTTTTCTTGTTAAACTAACATTCGGTTCACTTACTTTGATTAAACTAACGAACATTCAAATAATATAAATTGCAGGTTTTGACCACATTAGAGGACCCAACACGCAAAACGGAGCATCCCAACTTTTCTGCCCTGGGCCGCACGTGCGGCTAGGATCCCCCGCACGTGCGGCACACCTCCCGCACGTGCGGCATTGAGGCCCCGCACGTGCGCACGTGCGGCGATTCTGCACAAAAGGTCCGAAATTTTTGCACAATTTTCTTCTTCTTATTAACATGTTTAGGCCTCAAAAATCTAACTTTCAATTATCAATATACAAGTTCAAAGCATGCAATTACATGTGAACAAGGATCAAATTACACATTTCATTTGATTAAGAATCAATCATGAATCCACAACTCAAATTCACTCCAAGTCACATAATTTCTACTTGTTCTCATATCTCAACTCATAAACTTAGAACCATGCCACATACTTAAATTCAAACAAGCCAATTGAAGAAATAGAGTAAAGTTTCTCTTAGATACTTCAAATTGAATCAACACATGCAAGGTAAGATCATTTTGCTAATTTACTTCTCATACTCACATCACTACAGCTTCAACTCTTAGGGTCAAGATTATAGAAACATCTTCACATAAATTACAACAGGAGGGGTTGTAGATGAAAATTAAACAAACAATTACATACCTTAAGCCCAATCTCACCCTTCTTGAGAACCTTTTCTCTCTACCTCTTCAACTCCCAAGCTTAGTGTTATGTTTCCTTAACTTATCAAATGACCAAGAACACTCTTATATTTCCATGAAAAGAGAATGAGACAAAAATCAATCGTTTACACATCCGAAAATTGAAATTTCACAGAAGTGCTTAATATTACCTAAAAATTATGCTGGTTCCAAATATGTGATCAATTTTGACTTATTAATCCGCTAAGGCCCTCAATTTCTACTTTATCGTTCGAATAGTAACAGATACATTTCTTTCCTAACAGATACAATTCATTCTACCAAGCATTACAACATAGCTACTTGACCTCATTCTCTTATACAGCTTCTCCTTAGTCACTTAATAGCACAGAATAAAGGGCGGCATACATCACAAACATATATGAGGGTCGGGTTGTTACATGACACCTGGCTGACCTGCAACAGAAAGAGAAAATTTCGGCAGTGGTTCGTCCACCCGGGGGCATTCTGACGATCAAGTCAGTATATCTCTCAAAGATAAATCAAGTGCTAAACTTACAAGCTTGAGTATCAAAAACATACCTTAGACCCATGGGGGTGTCTTTCTTTTATAGCCAACATAAACCTAGTCCCAATAGAAGCTTAACTTCTATGGACTCAGGATTACTGCTAATCTTGGACTCCCAGTAAGATTAGGATAAACTCTCTAAGAGTCTTATCTTAATACAAATTGAAGTCTTCTCTCATTCTAGGACTTTTGCCCCTCATTCGCTTATCTCGGATTCCGATATCTTCGGAGGTAACCTCAGCCTATCCGAGATGACCTCGGCATAACAACCAGGACACGTGGCACCTCGGTTGACACGTCGGCGTCACCTTGGCCACGTGTTGGTACTCAGAAAATATATCCCCACAATTATTTAATTTTTGAGTTTTAAATTTATAGGAACCCACATATTGGAATTTGATAGGTAGAGATATGGAAAAAGGTGAACACCCATTTTTTCTTGACCCCCACCATTTCGAATATATTGGGATTGTCTAACTTTTTTCTTTTTATTTTTTATTTTTTCCTCCTATCACTCACTGACATGTGTCTGTGGGGGTCAAGAAAAAAGAGGGCCTCTATCAACAGAGATATATGTGTGTGGATAAGGGGTAATCTTTAAGAAAAGATTATAGGTGAGGAGTAGGAAAGTTCATCTATGGCTTAGGGTTTCATGAAATGTTGTCATTTTTTACTAAATTTTGGTAAGAATGGGCTCATGCACGTGCAATTGTATTACCAAAGCAGCAAGAATGAAGAAAAACCAGTTATGGTATCATACTGACACATAATTTAAAGTAATTAATCAATGTCGACTATGGTACTACGTGTTGATATTACAGATGGTTTAAATTATATATTTGTGCGAGGTCATTTTAAATTCACACAAATAAATGGTTCAGATGTATTAATGGAAAAATAGAAAATTATATTGAATAATATTTGTGTTAATGTATATGCACCTATAATGGTCCTCTTAGAGTTATTGTTTGGTATAATTGTAAATATTTAAAAATGAAAAATAACGGAAATTCAAGACTAAGAACAAGAAAAAGTTAGAGAAAATTTTCTAGAATAACGTTATTGATGACGTAATTTTAAACAAATAACTTACTATAATACATTTTGAGTCGTGTTACAAATGCCACTTTTCTAAAAATAGTATTTACCAAGTTACCAGCAAATATCTTTAAGAAATAATGAATCAAAGAAACTAGGGTATGATATTATGTTTTTTCCAAATAACAGAATATTAAATAACAATATACTCTTGATTGAAAATTCGAAATCAAGAGAGAGAGAGAATTTCATAACTTGTCTTTGAAATCTAGATGTTATTAGATTGAATGTTAAAAAATGACCTGATCACAAGCCAATTTATAGACCTAGATGCACCTAATCAGAAGGATCATGATCTTCAATCGCACTTGATCAAATCTGATTGTTGGATCAAGCTTTGATGGTCTAGATCTTGTCTAAACTTGAATGGGTATACGATAGTGTGCGTAGACGATCAATGGCCATGATCACACCGATCATGATTGACATACAACTATTTTATAGGTTACGTCATCTCATCACGTAGTGCTGATAGTGTCCCACATTAGTGCCACCACCAGTAGACCTAGACCATGTCACATAATCGTCACACAACTATTCTAAACCTATCGCATCACTGCTGATTGTGTTCCACATTAGTGCCACTCCAAGCGACCTAGACCATGTCACATCATCGTCACACATTCATTCTAAACCTGCCACTCATTACCACCAAGCTTTTTGGAGCAAATAGAAACGCATGTCCATGACCGTGCTAAGTACAAAGTGCGCGCCGTCAAACGCTATACCCCACTGGCCACACCATGTGTGTGCATGTGCAAATGGTGCATCATTCTTGTCGTGACGCGTACACACTAGCACCCTTTCCATAATTCATTATTCAAGAGAATATTCCATGTGGGTGTTTATTAACTCTATAATTTTCTCCTACGTTTTTGATGTGGTCACAAAGCTAAAAAGAGCTTTCTATAAGCAAACATTGAAGGTTTTGAAAAATAGCAAAAAAAGTAACCCATTTTATTTTTGAAAATTCCAACAATCCCTCACAATTTTCGAAATGAAAGAAGTCCTAATTCCCAAAAAGCCACTAAAAGAGTCAATTTCCAAAACAACCTCATATATGTTCATAAGTTGTTAACTCTTTACTTCCAAGTATGTTCTTGTCTAATAGTAGAACAAGTAAATAATTTAAATAATTTTGTTGTAAAATAATGA